CACACAAATATATAATAAATATATTTTGTTTACAATTTATTTTCCTTTTTTTATTAAGCAGTTACCTACAACTCGTTAGTGGTCTTAAGTAGTCATCTCTAGTGACTAAGTAACATTTATAATATTTATATGGGGTGTTCTAGAAATAAGTGCTATCATATTTAACTTATCAAGAGCAGCAGCTTTTGTCTAATAATTTTTTTCGAAACCTTACTTGTTTGTCCAGGGCATCTATGGATATACGTACATATCTAAGTAATGTAATAACTGTTATTTTAATGAGTAAAAATACTGGACAAATATGTAAGATTTTGAAAAAATTATTAGACAGAAAGTTGCTGCCTTTGATGGGTTAAATATGGGATATCCTATATCTAAAGACAAGTATATTCTTTCTTCTTACAGGATTACAGCGATGTAAAGTTATGGTAATCTCTTACAGTAAGGAAGATATGACCAAAAGAGTATAACAACCGCAATGGGGTAAGAAAAAATATTTGATTTTTTAGCAATTAGTTGTTTTCAATTTTGCTTATGATCCTTTATAAAACAGGGTTTTATTAGGTCTCTAAAGCTTTCTAAACTGTTTAAGGTTGAACCCTATTTACACGCTCATGACATGCTCTTTTGGCCACGTCTCCGTTGGTTGTAATGTAAATTTGTGACCGTAAATAAGTTATTTATTTATTAAAGGATGTCCATTAAAAAATATACGCGCAAATGTTAGCTATAAGCTTTATATAGACTAATCGACCTTGATCGCTTTCCAAGAAACCAAGACTGTTTCAAGAAGACAGAAGAGACCAAATTCCCTGTAAAGGCGAGTTTATATAATTTATTCATTAACTAGTCAATTTACTGGTGTTTGTATAAGTAGTTTCTGCTGTTTATTATTCCAGCCAGATCCTTTTCTACCATAGATATCAAAAGAGTTACTGGAAAATCTTCGAAAACAACGTTTTATTTCAAATAATGATGACGTGTGGTATAAAATGATAAATATTAGTTCCAATAATACGAAGAAATGTCAGTAAAAATTAAAAATATGTTTATAAAAGATCCGATATTTAAACATAATACTCTATTATACAGAGTCAAATTTCAAATAGCTTCATTGGATGAAAATATACCAACATGGATCAAGTTATCGTAACAAGTTTTAGCTCTTAAACAGTTAAAGGTTTTTTTTCAATTTTTAAAACAACTTTTTAGATATTTCAATGTAATTTGGTAGAGGAAGGCTTTAGGGTGTTTTTTTACTTAAAACCTATATAATTAAGAATATTTAAAACAATGTAAAAGAAAATAACCAAATCGGTGAATGGGTTGATTTTATAACTAAAGAACACAAGACATACTGATCTACCATTAGATTTGCTTGATTGTGAGGTAATTTAGTCTAAACCACAAATAATGTTTACTATGCGTACAAATTTAGTTTGATTTGACAAAAAATCAGCTATCCATAATTGACAACAGCAGGTGAAAATTGATATCCATTTTTCTATGGAACTATGCATGTTACATAAAAAGTATACCCTCTTTCCGTAGGTATCATGAAGTATATGCGACTTCTCAAAATTTTTGTAAAAATAAAAAATATAATAAAAAAAAAACCAAAGGCCATTTCAGTCATTCTTATCGACATCTGTGTCGATAAGGAGGTAAAAAGGGAGAGTGGCGTCTTAACAAAATAAAAGGCCCTTCACTTTTTAAGATTGGTTCTATTAGTGAATCTATTTAATTTTTTTATTGTTACAGAAGTCTCTTTTTTTGGAGGTTATTTCATTTAGTACATTTCCCTTCTCCCATTTCTTTTTTCAGTTGCGCCACTGACACTGCTTACTGTTGACCAGAGTTTGACATTTACGTGCAAAATCAGTAGCGTCACTAATTGTAAGAAACATAAAAATAACTAAAATATTAAATAAATTAAAATAAACTTACTAACACTTTCATTCTCTTGCAAGTAAAAGGTGAACCTCAGCATATAACTAAGTATCACAAATAATGCTCTTACGAATGAACCATCATATGCGATCATATGGATCACCCATAGATTTTCCAAATTGGCGCTTTAGTTATGCATCGAAGTATCGGACTCTACTCATGATTTGTGGTCGTTCAAAACTAAAAAAAAATATAAAAGAAGTTGATTATCATATTTGCACTAGAAGTAATAAATATTGTTTACTAAGAGACAAAGATCCATTTTTAGAAAAAATCTATGAAAGATTCATGACTACATTGTATCCCATTTAGCCCATGAAAAAATGAATTAGGTTTTAGATTATAGATAACCAATAGTGTAGAATTAATATAGATATAAAAGTACTGGGAATTACAGTGCATTGAAGAAATAATACACATAAAAAACCTTCTTCTTACTACAATTTTTAATATCAAGAAAGAATCCCGTTATAAGGTTGGTCAAATGCTTTGCATAATGAAAGTAAGAATGTTTGCGTATCAGTTCTATTATTAAGAAAGTATACACTACTTTACTGCCACTTACTTTTTAGTATACTTACCATATAATGTGAAAAACCATAAGTAACTAGTGAGTTATAAGTCATAAGTCACTAGTAAGTTATGACTTATAGCCCACTAGTGACTTATAGAAATCATAAAAAGACAAATGTTTGGTTTATTTTTCTAGTTTTTATTAGAAAACCAATCTGAAACAGTAATAAGTCAACAAATAACCTAAAATGCTACAAACTTACAATCTACCTACTTATTAATATTAACATTAATATTTATGGTAAAGCCGTAATTTGTTATTTTGTTTTTAAATGACTGGAGTCATTTTGTGGTAAATTTATAGAACAGGTTGCCCCTTTACTGTGCTTGCTTCAGGAGTCTGCACCCCTTGTATTTTTTTTAGCAATATCAATTTTGTTGTAAATTGACTCTTCTATATAACCTTCTGCCACGGTAGATGACTTCCATCCACCGTGGCGTTTGAGTGTTGTAATATCCCCTCCAGCATCGACCAAGAGAGTTGCAGATGCGCGACGCAAGCCATGCCTTGTATATAAATTAGAATCTGTCAAGCCCAAAAATCGCGCAACAACATTATGGATTTTTGATAGCTTATTAATACCAACACATTGATGTCTGCATTTTCTCATTTGAAAATTGCAAAAGAACCTTTTATGCTGCACGTTTTAAGGCCTTAGCTTAGAATATTCTCTAATGAATTCAATTGGATTAACACAAAATCCTTCATTTAACACAGCGAAGCTTCTTGGTTTGTTCATTTTAGTATTTGAAATCATGATGTGGATATACCACCCTCTGTCCTCTATATTGTCTATGCTTAGATGGGTCAATTCCTCGCAACGGCAAGCGCCAAAAACTCCTAATATCAACGCCACCTAGAAGCAACAAATTTAATAAATATAACTCAGTTAAACTATTCAGTAGAACATACCTTATTCATAAGGTAATCTTCGTCTAGGGCTTCACGCAAAAATGGTTCGATTTGTTCTCTTTCGAAGACCTTGGATGTTTTTGGTTGAAAATGTTTGTGCTTAGACTTTAGAAATGCCCTAGTCTTCCGAATTTAGAAATTTCAATGTTCTTCTAAACTCTCAAAGTTGACTTCCACATGGAATATTTAGTCCACAATGTGGATGGAGCTAATTTCTTATTTAAATTGAAAAAATAAACCAGCAAGATATCTTCATTTACGCCTTTTACCCTTTTTTTTTGGTTTTCCAATCTTGAAATTCCTTCAGTTCTTTGTTGTATATAGATTTTGATTTCTCCAGAATGATGCTTGCAGTAACCGCATTAGCTTTTTCTAAAATTTCAGATGGAATTTCCACATTTTCCATTTTTTCAGTCTTGGTTTTAGGATTTCAACGTGATTTCAACTCAAAAAATATTGTTTGCTTACTGACAACTCTTGGTTACAGACACAATTTATGTTGACACTCGCTTCCTTTGTAATATTTAAAAATACATTAATTTCGTTAAATTTCCTTTTATTGAAACCAAATTCTATGAAAGTGTTGGATAAAATTTTGTATGGCACTCGTTTGTTATCGTATATAAGTAAGTATATACCGTAACACACTAGTACCATAAATAACTAATATTATTCTTTTTTTTTTCATGTAATTGTTCAAATTGAAACATTTGGCGCTAGAAGGTCATAAGAACATATTTTTGAGAAATGAGACTTTTGCAGAAACAGATTTTACAAATGTATGTTTTGGTCTGGTGCAAATATGGAATCTGCAGGCTTCATAGAAACCGAACTCTCAGGTGTTCCAAAATTTAAGCAAAATATTTGAATTTTGCGCCATTTGCGGTAAAGTGCTGGTAACGAAAAAAAAGATAGTGTGACAGCTGACAGTTCAGAGTTACAAAAATGAAACGCTACACGAAAGAATTGGATTGGCAGCTAGAATTCGCAATTTTCGGACAAAATCTGGTCAGAATGGTTGAAAAATTCAGGAAAATTGGATCAATTAGTAATCTTAAACACTCTGGTCCTTCAACAAAACATCGAAGCAGTTCGTGAGAGTGTTGCTGAGAATCCAGGAACATCAATTCGGCATTTATTTTTATTTCTTTTACAAAACATTAGATTTATGTATTAATGTCTCTGATACAGCTTTTTGTGGGGCTGTGTAGTAAGTATATGTTTTTAAGAAGAAAAAAAATAGGTTTATGATTTAAAACCCATTTAATAACTTATAATAACTATTAAATTATATCTTGTAAAATGCCAGGGATGAATTTATTTTTCGCAGACAGCAAAATGTCTCCTCTTAAGCTTGAGTTTTCACCAAGATCTTTTCGTTACGTCAAACATAAAGACGATGAAACGTATCAGTTTCTGGTTATTGTGGTCCAAAGTGTAAGAAGTTTTAACATTGTGTTCGAAGCCCCACAGAAATTACCTGTACCAAACACGGAGCAAGCGCCGCAGAAATTCACTAAGTGGTTTGAGTGCTTGCTTGTACTCTTGACATCGACTGTAGTCCGCGAGCGCACGCTGAGCAGGTGGTTGGTGTTCCGGAATATCGCCTAATATAAAATACGTACTAACTGAATACACTTCAATATTCGCTGTCGAATAGTGGCTATACGTCGCGCGTAGAATTATGTACAGATCGCTTTGACATTTTTAGCTTGTTAATCTGATATGGTTTTGTGTATTGTTTTATTTTGATTGTCGCATGTGTGGTGTTTTGTGTAAAATGCAGTGGCTCGGGGGAAACCCCAGCATCTTCCATCTCATATCTGTAGTAGGACTATGTTACTGGACTATTTCGATTGTCTTAGCCGACACTAGGCTGACTCCGGGATCAGGTAAGCATTCCAGAAATTACTGTTACCGAAAGTTCTCCATAAGCTCGTTGAGTACCAAAATAATAAGTCGAGGAATACTGCCACTGACGGTGTTACAAGAGGTTATTAACCGTAATAAAAAGTTGAATATGCAGATAGATACAGTTAAGTTGTTGGAACGAAATTGCGATAGTTTAGCTTCTTAAAATTATAAAATCTCGTCTGCAGTGCCATCTAGAATGATTTCAAACAATTCGGGAAGGTATTCCAAAAAATATCTAACGGGACCGGCGTGATGTCACTGCACAGCATAAAATAGGTATATAGAAAAACGTAGAACCTTCCAACAACCAGTTGATGCAATTCCTATCTCTTCTGGAACGAAATCACTTGCCTTCATATTAATTTTTGCTGAGTGAAGTGGAAGTAGGCCAACCGATTTTTAATCTAGAAAATTGTTCTGTCAATTTATTCAGCTGGATGAATGTTCATCAGCTTTTAACAGCACTTAAATACATGAACGCGACTGGAAGATTCTCGATATACAGTGCGTATGAATTTTGCGAGACAAACATCAGTGATGATGATTGTGTGTTCTTATTTTAAACAAAGATACTTATGAAAATATTTTTGTTTTTCACTTAGGCGATATAGCTTGCTTATTATTAGAAAAAGGAATAGGAAAGCAACTTCATGTCACTCTAGGGCGAAATAAGCGCACCTAAATATTATCGCCCGCATTTTGGCCCTTTTTTTTGCAAGGGTAGAATAGTAAATGTGTCTTGTATAAATGAAGCAGGCAAATGAAAGTACAAAGTTTATTAACATTAATAGTTGATATATAACAATAATTTGCTTTAAATTAATAACAAAAATCATTTACAACCGTCTTTAAAGATGAAAGTACCATTTGAGAAAGAACCTTTAAGAGTAACACCAGAAAAACTACCTAAATTTTCTTTGCCATCGAATAAATGTTGTTCATTTTCCCTCACAATCAATTCAGAAAAATTGTCATCACTAGTTCTTTCGACTCTTGCTATTAAACTAGATATTTTGGTCTTGGACTTTCTGCTATCTTCTACATATGCTGATGCTACAGTATCACTCTTTCATTTTCCATGTCTTTTCAATGTTATCATATCTGCACCCCCATCTACGAGAAGAGTTGCCGATGTACGACGCAAACAATGACCTGTGTACATTTTTGCATCTGCGTAGCCGAGATATTTTGCAATCCTGGACGGTATGATACCAAAGGTATTTTTGCCTACTGGTTGCGCAGTACATCGACCATTCCGATATGTCAGAAAAAACCAATTGTCATTTTCTTCCACAATAGCAAAAGATTTTGGTACTCCAGTTTTTGTATCGTTAATTTTTACTACAACAACGAATCCTTTGTGATGTATATCATCTATCCAGAGCTTTATCAACTCATCTCTTCTTAATCCTCTAAAAAACACTCATTACTAGAACAACCTACAATAATAAAAACCTATTAAGCAAATGCAATAATATAGCCAATTATTTCTTATATTACCTCTTCCAAAAGATATGTATGACTTGATGCTTCTCTAATAAACTTCAAAACATCCTCTCTTGTCAATATCTTATATTCTTTTGGAACGTATCCTTTCGATATTTACTTCAAATAAGCCTCTAATCGATGATATTCTCCTATATTTATTTTTCTGCGCACTAATAATGTGGTTTTCAACATTGAATGCTTTGTCTACAATGTTATTAGAGCTGAATGATTCTGAATGAAAGATATATAAAAAATATAAATTATCAAAAATTATTAATATTTCTTTAAAGTGATATAGAAGTTCTTGGAAATATCCCATTAATATAGTTTCACTGAATTTCTGCTTGTCTAAGTCTCAAAACGTTTATATTCTTTATCATAAAGTAATTTAGATTTCTTAGGCAGTAATTCTTCATTGACTTTATTGGTTCTAGCAGCAACTATTGCTGGAATATTATCCATTCTGTCATTTCAATATGTCTTCTCAAAATCAGACATCAAACTATCAAAATCTACATATTTGCTGGTGTCATACATCGTTTATATATTAAAAAAGTGTTTTAATTCTCATTTACATTTAATTATTAAATTTAAAATAAAATCAGATGTCTAAGTAAAAAATAAAACGTCGTATGCACCACGGGAGATACTAGGATGATTATGCCTTTAGGCGACCCAACCTGTCGCCTGCGGGCAAAATTATCCCTGTACCTCCCTTGGCACATAAATAACTAATATAAAATAAAGACATCTATTTTATTTAATTCACTGCCTTCTTTGCAAAATATTAGTTTTATTTTACATGATTAAAAAATCTTAAAAGCCTCACGGTATTTTCTCCTCAATTATCTCTCGTAACTTGACAGAGGTGAAGCAACAACTACTTTTATCTTTATGACTTAGCCACCTACATTTACAGTTGTCAACAGTCTACAAATTTAGTAGACTAAGGCAACAGAAAATGTGTATAAAATCAGATCGTGGGAATATTTTTGTGTTGTTTTTAGGAGGTTGGTAACTACCATAGTTTGTACACCACACAATAGTTTTTACAAAAGTATGTAAAGTATGTTGCATTTGATTATTAGGTATATTTAATGACGTTATGCCCAAATGACTTAGTTATTAATTACATAGAAGAAACATAAAAATATATTTTCAATTGATGATAAAAAACGTATATCAGTATAATCAGTGTACATCATCATTGGGATTCAAAAAAAGGAAAGTAAATTGAAAACCATATCTACAAAGCCCTATTTTGATTTATAAAACTATCTGAGAGTTAATGTTAAGTCATTTGAAAATATAAAAACTCAGGAACTGCAAGAAATAAATTTTCTTTTGGGAAATAATGAATATAATAATGTCCTTCAAATATTTCTAGAAAAAACTGTTATCCAGTTATCTACAGTGAGTTATTTTTTGTTTAATAAAAAATTGTTGAAAGTTATAGTACGTAGATACTTTCTGATTAACTTGCAGTGAATTTAACAGTATTCTGTATTAAATATGAACATTTTTAAAACAAATAACGTGGCAAATTTACAAGAAGTTTTTAAATAGTCATCCATAATCATTGCAGCTTCCTTTTTCTTCAGTTTCATAAAATTTGTTTCTATATTGTTTGAAATTTCCACTTATTTAGAGATAAAACGTGCTTATAGAATTCTGATTAGTACTTTCCGAACAGCTGGTATACGGTATACCAAGTTGTATGTTGTATATCTACGATAGAGCACTTACTTATGTCTGAATTGAAATTCATTTTTGTTTACATTTTTGGGATACCTACATGCTCGTAAACACGACTGCAGTTTGCTACTGAACTGATATTGCTCAATTATTTTGCAATACGGCGAGTTACTGCTGATTTAAATAACGAATTTGTTATTGTTAGTTATGGCAATTTTTGCGTTCAAAGCAATATTTTACATGCAGCCAACAAGCTGGGCATACTCTAAATATACTTAATTGAGGAAGCGATTTTAAATGTATACGTATAATTAGGAAACAAAAAAAAATGAGAAATATAATTGTTTTTTATTACATATATTACTCCTGTTTCGCTTCGTGTCATTCTACGATGTAATTAACCAGGATGCTATATTTTTTCGACTTGTAAACGAGCTTGTAAATATTCTAAAAAAATAAAATATTAATTATACTCGTATATAATATTAAAATAGTGAATTATGTAATATACAGGGTGATTTCACTTTAAATACAGAAACTGCAGGATTCATTACCAAAAAATAAGTACATTTGTTCTATAAACTTTTTTCCTGCGGGACTCGGTATTCGAGATACAGGGTGTTAAAGTTTACAAAAAAAATATAATTTTTCTGCCATATCTTCATAATGCGCTGACGGAATTAAATGAAATTTACTACAGCGTATTCACTTAATTAGATCTTTCATTGAATGTAATATTAACCTTGTGGCTTTAACCAGCGGCGTGCTACTGGAGGTGCCACCTCATTTTCCCAAGAAAATTGCAGTTTTTTTGTAGACATGTCACATTACGTTAAATGAATGAAAAATGTTTCTTGATGTTTTTTAATAGTTGCAGCCGTTTAGGAGATGCTTTAGGAGAGCTTGTTTTTACGTTTTTTGAATTTTCCTTATAAATTAATCCGTCTATTTTATGAAAACCTCCTGGTTTTAACCATTGATGTGCTACTGAAGCGTCCGTCAACTTTTCATAAAACATAAAAAAACATAAAACACACCACAGAAATGAGACAATCCCCAAATCCAAAAGCCAAAGGCTTGTGCGGAAGGGGGCTACACTTGAAAAAACGCGGGCAAACACCCATTATCCATCGACATTGCCAGTGCCGACACCGGGGATCGAACCCGGACCAGAGTAGGAAGCCTAGCCGAGAAATGCTAAAATAAGAAAGAATACATCACTAGCGGTTTTTTGTATATATTTCTACAGGGTGTACAGATTAATAAGTGTACAGAAAGGTGCAGTGGGTAAAAAAGCAAATGATGTTCTAACATTTTTTTATTAAATAGACCCTAACAACGTGCATATTAGAAAACTATACCTCAAAGTTGCAAATGCCAATCCGACAACTATGTTTTTAGGGATCATTTTTTTTTAAATATTAGCAATTGTTTTTTTTGGAAACCAATAATACGTCCTCATTCTACACACCTCAGTTTGACCTACTGTGATTTATTTTTTCAATTATCGAATATTAATTTTACCAAAAAAAGGCGTAATTTATTTTTCGACAGCAATACAGTGAAAAAAAATTATTTTAAATTTGTTCATAAAATTTAAGTCACAATAGATCTTTAGTTACACAAATTCGTAGGTGTATTTTGAGCAATACCATTAATACATACATTGATAAAAAAGTCGTACTTTTACATCGCTCACAGTTGTTACAGAGTGGTACTGTGAAAGTGAAAATGTTTTTATTAAATGAAATAATATTTTGGGTAGACAAATAATGTAACTATCGAGAAAAAGTTG